GTGTGTGTGTGTGTGTGTGTGTGTGTGTGTGTGTGTGTGTGTGTGTGGGTGGGTGTGTGTGTGTGTGTGTGTGTGTGTGTGTGTGTGTGTGTGTGTGTGTGTGTGTGTGTGTGTGTGTGTGTGTGTGTGGATGGATGGATGGATGGATGGATGGATGGATGGATGGATGGATGGGGGTGTGTGTGTGTGTATCCAGGGCAGATTAAGGTGATTAATGAAGCTATTTTTGGTCTGGAGAAGCAGGTACCTGCTGAAGAAGAAGAGGACTACATCTCCCATCACCCACCTCAGTATGACGTCATCTTTCAGCCAGGTGTGTGTGTGTGATGATAAACATTAAAATACCTTTTAGTAGTTTAACTAAACACAGTGAACAGGCAGCAGAGTACATTTAATCTAGTACTCAAGTACATATTTGTGGTACTTGTACTTTCTACTTCTCCTCCACTGCATCTCAGAGGTACATATAGTATATATAATATATAATATTCATCCAGAAACATCAGATATACATATTATTTTATTTATTTGTATTTTTTTAAAGATTTTTAGGTCTTTTCATTTAAATATTTATTGTTGTTTATGTTTATTATCTCATGTGTAACCAAACCGGTAACTTTGGTTTCCAGGTAAACTCATAGGAGCAAATACTCAGAGTACTAGTACACGGTGACAGAGGATCGTTGGACGTTTCTGTGTTTCAGAGGATCAAAGGTTTGCTTCCGTGAGTCTGTTAACAGAATAAAGCGACGCGAGGTAAATACCTGTCTCACATCTCACTGACCATCTGCAGTCCTGGATAATCCCTGAGAGCAGATTAGAGACGCTGCAGCACAACGACAACACTTCAGAGGAAACATCGGACTCTTCGAGGTCCAGAACCACAATAATTTTGGTTCTAGAGGATTTTATTGTGAAGGAACAAGAAGAAGTTTACGACACGTTTTAATTTGCTGACTGAAAAAAAACTTTTTGGATGTTTTGAAGCCGTTATGAAGACTTTGACATCAGATCCGAAGACTCCTTTATTGTGAAATCTTTTAAGCTTTTTATTGTGGAGATTGAAACAATATCCGTGCCTTTTATTGTGAAGGCTTCAAATACTTGGGCTTTTATTTGTTTTACCTATTTTCTTTATGCTTTTTAAAAACGGATGGTACAAGTTTGTTGTTTTATTTTGAAGGACTCCTGAGCTGAGGACTTACTTTTTTGTGCATGTGGTTTTATTGTGAAAAATCACCTTTTATTTTGAAGCTGTGTACGATTGTGTAGTTGATTAAGGACTTACTTGTTACGGATTCAAACATTTGGGGGATTTGTTTTGTACTGAATGCTGTTGGGACTTTTATTGTGAAGCTGACTAGAAATGTAGGCAACACACCACATAATGAAGGATTCAAAGTTCTCTGGGGCTTTTATTATGAAGGGTTTGAAGTTCTCTGGGGCTTTTATTGTGAAAAGATTGTCGCCAGGTGATCTGTCCTGAGAGGCGGAGTGGCCGGACATCAAACAGCCAATGAGCTGTCAGAGATGATTTCGTACGTGGAGTGTCTGGGCGGTGAGGGGGCGGGGCCTAACGTGGGGTCGCGCTGTTGGACCGGTGGCCCCGACGAAGAGCAAGACGAGCTGCTTCCGCGCAAGATGGCCACCCTGCAGCCAAAGACGGAGGGCAGCCTGCGGCGCCGCCTCCTCAGCGCCAAAATCCAACAGCACCACGACGCCATCTTGGGAATGAATGCGGGCGGCAGGCCTGCGACGCCCACAGGTGACTGGAAGCCCCTCCCACCTCACCTCCAGTATCCAGGCAACAGCCCTTGGTTCCGCCGCCAGCACCTCCCACCGCGACCCGGCGTCCACCCTTCTCTCGCCCCAGAGGATCATGGGAAACCGCGGTCCACCTACCCGGTCCTGACCCAGCGGGGCCGGACAGGTTCCTGCCCCCCCACCCCGGAGCCCCGCCCCGGCTACACCCTGCCAGCCCTCCCTCCTCTCGGGTCCCCGCCCCACTTCAGAGAACCAGAGGTGCCGCCGCAGTACCGCTACCGACCCAGCAGGAGGCGCCGGACCGGCTTCTTCTGCTTCGGGTCCCAACCAGGGAGGAGCTTCGGACTGGAGGCCACACAAGCCACGCCCCTTCTACATCGAGGTACTGCTAGGAGTCCTAGGTAGTAGTACTGTCCTCATGTAGTACTACTGCTTCTAGAACTACTTATACAACAAGTACTTGTACCTCTGTTTAGTCTCGTTGGACCTGAATGGTCCCAGCTAGTCTGATTTGGTCCTGAATAGTCCCAGCTCGTCTGGTTTGGTGCTTAATGGTCCCAACTAGTCGGGTTTGGTCCTAAATAGTCCCAACTAGTCTGGTTTGGTCCTAAATAGTCCCAACTAGTCTGGTTTGGTCCTAAATGGTTCCAACTAGTCTGGTTTGGTCCTGAATGATCCCAGCTAGTCTGGTTTGGTCCTGAATGGTCCCAGCTCGTCTGGTTTGGTCCTGAATGGTTATCCGTGTCTTCCTGTCTGATCAATAATTCATCACAGTCAGACATTATTCTCTGATAACATGCAGAAAAAATCTCACTGAAGACAAACCAAAACAACCCCACGTTCCTTAAATTAACTCCTCTGTGTATAATCTGTGTGTATGTGAGGGATTAACTGCAACTACATATGCTACGCTATTGGCTAATTCCTGTAGCAGATGACCAGGCTTTAACATGCAACAGCTGCGACCTGTTAGCTTCACCTGTTAGCCTCACACATTATCTTTACCTGTTTGCCTCACATGTTAGCTTCAGCTGTTGGCTGTAGCTTGGTCTGCCTGGTTGTGTTTGATCAGGTGTCATGAAGGTGAAGCCCCGCCCCTCCCGTCCTCTGATTGGACAGCGTGTTGAGCCTGTGTTCTATATATAAACAGAGTGACAGCGTGGCCTACTTCCTGTCCAATTAATTAAACTAATTAAAGCAGTGACGGACAGACAGACAGAAGTAATGAGCTGCTCCACTGGCCCACATAGTTGGCCCATTTCAGACTGGAACCGTCCCAGTTCGTGAAGATGCAGCTCTCTGATTGACTGTCAGGCGTCCTCACCACCACCAAGGTGTGTTAAACTGTAGGTATCACAGGTAACTGACTCAAGTACCATTTAAACCTCCTCAAGGACCATTTAAGGGTCCTCAAGGACCTCTGGCACCTTATCAAGGACCTAAAGAACCAACTCAAAAACATAAGGGTGCTCTTTAAAATCTCAAGGATCCATGAGACCACTTCAGTCCCTCTTCAATGACCTCTATGTCCCCTTTTAATGACCCAGCGAGATCCTCAAGGACTCCAGGACCCTCTTCATTCTCAGTTCTCAGTCATCCTGGTCTTAAAATGTCTTCACTTTGATGACATGTCCTCTCTGTTGGGTCCTCATAAAGACAGAAATATGAGAACTCAGAGAATAAAGGACGAGCCTCCACACACACATACACACACACACTCTTCCTTCATCTATAAAGCATTGTGTGTGTGTGTGTGTGTGTGTTAATGCAGTATTTGTGCGTAACCTTCATCACCTGGTGACACACATGAAGGACACACACGTGTGCTGGCTTCCTGCCAGAGTGTGTGTGTGTGTGTGTGTGTGTGTGTGAGAGGTAGAGAGACTAGAGAGAGAGGAGTGGGAGGAGAGCGGCATTGCAGTGAGTCAAGCTGCATTATTGCTGCTGCTGCCTGTCTGTCTGCTGCAGCCTCAGGAGTGTGTGTTTGTGTGTGTGTGTGTGTGTGTGTGTGTGTGTCTGTGTGTGTGTGGCGTCGTCATGGTTCTGATCGGAGCCGCGATCAAATCAGTCTTCAAATACCTCAACAGGACCAGAGGTGAGTGTTTCTCTGCATGATGAACTGGTTAAGTGATGTTGTACTGGGAGAGATGGTTCTGTAGGACGCAGCTCTCTGATTGGCCGTCAGGTGTCTTCACCACCTCAAGGTGTGTTCAACAGCAGGTAACCACAGCAACAACGTAGGTAACGGACTCCAGGACGCATTGAGCTTCTTTGAAGACCTCTGGTACTCGTCAAGGACCATATGAGTCTTCTCAAGGACCAGTAGCACCTTCCCCGGAACCTCTGGTATATTTTCAAGGACCCCTGGACACCCTTCAAGGACTGTTTCAGTCTCCTCAAGGACCTCTTGTAGTCTCAGCCTTGGAACCTGTTCAAAGAGTCCAGGGATCTCCTCAAACATCCCAAAAACTTTCCAAGGACCCGAGGAACCCCTAAGTCCTGGGTCCTTGGAAACTTCCAGGACTATTTGAGCCTCCGTACAGACCTCTGGTACTTCTCAAGGAATCATGAATCCCTTAAAGTACCCTGTTGAGCTCATCAAGGACCATCTGAGTCTCCTCAAGTAACTCTGGTACCTGGACCTGTAGAACCACCTCAAAGACTGAAGGAGGCTTTGATGACTTGTGTCGTGTTTGATGACTTGTGTTGTGTTTGATGACTCGTGTTGTGTTTGATGACTCGTGTCGTGTTTGAT